GTTGCCTTCCTCAGAGCCTTTGGATGTTGGCTGTAGCCAAAGGTGGGGATTTTGACAGGTATGCTCCTGATGGGTCTAAATGCTCTGTCTGGGACTAAAATGCAGAGGTGCTCTTCTCAGGGTCAGGTGGACTAATCAGGTCGGGTGCAGGAATACAGTATTTCTAATGGAGAAGACAATATCTAACTTCTGAGTTCTCCAAGCTGTAAATGTGCTTCAAGGTGCCTACACAACTTTCCCCAGGAAAATATTCTTTCATTTGGATGCAAATATAGCTACTCTGAGGGATGGTGCCAATAGCTTTGCTAATGGTTCTGATGTAAATGTAACTGCAGCTGCTGCTTTTTACAGTGGATAGATACGTAAGAGTATTATGGACCAAATTTAGCTTGCTTCTGTGCGTCTGTTAACCTTTTTTTAAATCAATGAATAAAGGAATCATTGCTTCCTGTGAATCATTATGCAGACTGATCTTCATGTGCTTCCATCTAGGAATCACGTCATATCTAGCAGCTTACTAATACACGTATTGTCAATCCTCACCACTTGCGTCCTGTCATATTCTGGTATTTGCACATTTTACCTGCCTATGTCATTCACGGTACTATACGTGCTGTAGTTGATTGTCATCAGTTATCTGTGTCATAGTAGTGTAATTCCTGTCCCAATGGGTTTATTATGCCTCCCTTGTTCAGTATATATCTAGTTCACGTTCTTCTGTTGCAGATTCTGGCTTTTACTTCTTATGATTAATATTCTATATACTCTTCATGTCATAGTATGTCAATGAGTCACTTAGTGGGCCAAGTGTCAGTTCTGATGCATGTTTTAGAAATTTAGATTTGATTCCCAGATAAATCTCCTCTTTTTCTAATCTAGATTTGCTTAGTTTTCTACATTTGTCTCTTGGTGTGTGCAAAAACTGGTCATACCTGCTCTGCATGGATCCTACAGACCCCATCACAATTCCCAAAATAATAGGAATTGTTCCTCAACCAAAATTTTTGGTGTGTGACTCATGCCTGCTACTTCAGCCATGACAATGTGTCATTGTTGCTGTATGTAGGCAGTTTGCAAAGCACTCCAGGACCATTTTGCAGTTGTTTTTTGAACACTTTAAGTTATTCATGGCCAGTAATACACTAGTTCAGGACTTAAAGCATGCACAATCAGTGAAAGGTTTGGGAGATTAAAAAACCCCCCCAAAAAACACCTTTTTTTTTCTTTTGGTAATGTACCAAATGAAGTACTAAACTTCATAAGGACTACCACATCATTGAAATGCTCCCCTCTGACCACTTGAGGGCATCTTTCGATATATTTTGTACTGTTATAACTGTCCTGAGCATGGAAGGGCCCCTCACTTGTTCCACTCCATTTGAGGTAATTAAATCTCATTTTGTTTGGCTGACTAAGAGAGAGAATATGGTTGGTTCATAACACAATTACTGGACATTATAAAGCAATTATTTTATTGAGTAAATAGACAGTGCTTCAAGGACAATCCAGAATTCATCTTGTACAGTTTCAGAGAACATAATTTTAGCAAGCAGAGGTCTCCCCCTCCACAAAAATGTGTTCAAATTTGTCTGTTTACAGTCCACCATTGCAGGTGCTGTTCCACTTGGTGCTTCGTGTTATTTCCCTCCCTTTGCTTTTTGTTGGAATAGGCAAAAAGTTTTATAGTGTAGTGGTCAGAAATGAAGCAGGAAACGACTGAACTATTTTAGTACTTCATGGTGTGCCCTGTCTCTGGAACTCCCTGCAGAACCGTTTCAAGCATGGACGGGGTTTTATACTTCCCGCAGCACGCTGAAGGGAATTGCACGGAGAGCAAGTTCACTTCTCAATGCTGGAGAGTCATTTTTCACACAATATGTTCAGACGTACTCAGCAGGCTCTGTTTGCAAATTTTGGGCCTTAGAGCAGCTTCGCAGTCTCAGATGGGCCGTCTCGGAGGTAAAATTACACTTTGTTGTCAGAAACAATATCACGCTTTTATCCAGAGGTAGCTCCCCCTCCTCACTTTCTGCCCCTGTAGTTAAAGACCATGATTCCTATGTTAGAATCAAGTCTTATAAATATTGGCCTGGGAAGTGAAGTGGAGCTCCTAATTTTGTAGGCATAACTGACACTTGTACTTCATTGGTGGTGTAATTAGAAGTACCTGATTGGGCCCTCAAATCAAGATATCTGGATGTATCCTTTTGTTCATATGTGTGGGGTATATTGACTGGCTGGTGGGGGAGCTGCACTCCCCAAGGAAAAAGAAATAAAGCTCCAAGCATTAGTCCCTTTAAGGCCCTTCTGTCAGGGCTAATTGTTTTGTCCACGGCCCGGTCACAAAACAAAAGTACATCATCAAAACAGACACACTGGGTGATCATCTGAACTGGGTCAGCCAGAAGGCTGGAGAGACCTCCTGTCTGCATCACTTTCCTTATGTCTGTCTTCAGGGGCCACGTGTCCAGTCAGGACTTGTTAACCCTTTACAGACTGTAGTGCTTCATTATAGGATGTAATCAAATATGGAGGTAAGATTATGAGGGGAAATTTGGAACGTTAGCAAAGGTCCACGATGGAGGAAAATAGTATTTCCTTGTGGAATTGCACTTTTTCTACCAGATCACTAAATCTCTTTGTAAGCAATTATAGTCATCTTTCAATATTATGAAAGACATATATTAAATACATCTTGGCTTTGATGGCTGTCTTGTTTCATGTATTACTAATTTGGTGTGGAAAAACAAATCCGTGGATACAGTTGTTAACATATCTTTCTTCCCTTTTTTTAATAGATCACATGTAGAGATTATTTATAGCAATTGAAATGAAGACCAGAAATGAGTATCCATTATAATTTTTAAACCCTTTTTGATGTAAGGTTCAACACCATGATGGCATAACAGGCACAGAATCCCCCAAGGTGAAAGATATGTATGTGAATAACTTGATGAATGGAATGATTAATGTAAAGAAGCTTCTGGCTTCCATAATCTTTGACATGCACAGTGCTGAGAAGAATGGAAAACTCTATTCTTACGTTGCCGGTAAAGATGCAGGAAAACAAGGTATTTCTAAAAAAACTCTTTCTAGCCTGTTTATATATATAAAATATGAAGAGTAATGAATTCTCCTGCTTAGATGGAGATGCCAAAGTTTTATCATTGTTAGTCACACTTTGGAAGAGGCCACGTGGCCAAGGGGGACTCATCAGATTTCAAGTAAACTCAAAGCAATAGGTGAGCTGGGAAGTTTCAAGCGCCCCAAATGAACGATCATGTGATAGGGGGATCTATCCCCCCGATAGTCCATATCAGCTCTACTTAGGGAAGGTGTGCTTGGAAAAAGGGCAGTAAGAGAGAAGAGGCAGGTTAAGAGACACAGGGAAATGGCTAGAGGACGTGGTAATGCCTCTGCTTGCACCTGTGAGGTTTCTGTCTGGGCAGGACTGCTCACCATCGAGCTTCCACCCAGGTTCAGGTTTGGCGCTGTGGGGACTGCGGCTTGCAGGTTCCTTCTAGTGAAGGCCAGGCTGGGGAGTGTCTGTGGTGTGAGCGGTGCCTCCTGGTGGTATCTCTCAGGGAACAGGCAGAAGAGCAACAGGAGGAGGTGGTGCGGCCCCGAAGCATCCTCTACTATGAGGAGTTTATCGATTCGATGCTGGAAGTAACTGGGACTGCAGAGGAAGAACTTCCAGCAGAAGCGCTAGAGAAGGGTGGTGGTGGTTGGAGACTCCCTTCTGTGCAGGATCGTTGGATCCATTTGCAACCTGACCTTTTGTCTTGGGAAGTCTGCTGATCCAAGATGTCACAGATGTATTACTGAGACTCACCTGGCCCTCTGACTACTATGCCATGCTGATCATTCATGTGGGCACCAATGATACTGCCAGGGGAGAGCCTGAGCAGATCAAAAGTGACTACAGCGCTCCTGGTGCAAGGATGAAGGGGATGGGGGTCAGGTCATGTTCTCTTCGATCCTTCTGGTAAAGGGAAAGAGCCTGACAGGAGCTGGCTGCACAGGTGGTGTTGTCAGCAGGACGTTGACTTCTTTGGCCACAGAATGATGTTCCAGGAAGGATTGCTGGGAAGAGATGAGATCCACTTGATAAAGAGAGGGAAGAGTGTCTTCACAGATAGGGTCACTAACCTAGTGAGGAGAGCTTTATACTAGGTTCACTAGGGTATGGAGACCAAAGCCCTGAGGTAAGTGGGAAAGTGGGTGATCTGGAGGAAGAGCAAGCAGGATGGGGTAGCAGGGAAGGTATTCTCATTCTTCCTGAGAAATCAGGGCAATCAACTAGTTACCTCAGGTGCCCGTACACGAATGCACGGCGCCTGGGAAAAAAGCAGGAAGAACTGGAAGTCCTTGCACAGTCACAGAACTATGCCGTGATTGGAATAATGGAGACTTGGTGGGAGCTCGCATGACTGAAGCACTGTCGTGGATGGGTATAAACTGTTCAGGAAGGACAGGCAGGGGAGAAGAGGAGGAGGAATTGTACTTTTATGTAAAAGAGCTGTATGATTGCTCAGAGCTCCAGTCTGAAACTAGAATAGGCCTGTTGAAAGCTTCTGGGTTAGTCAGAGGAGAGAGCAACAAGGGTGATATCATGGTGGGTGTCAGCAGACCAGGAGAAAGTGAAAGATGAGGCCTTCTTCAAACAGCTAGCACGTGTTTCCTGATCACAGGCCCTGTTTCTCATGGGAGACTTCAGTCACCCTGACATCTGCTGGGAGGGCAACACAGTAGTGCGCAGGCAATCCAGGAAGTTTTTTGGAGAGTGTTGGGGACAACTTCCTGGTGCAAGTGTTGGAGAGGCCAACTAGAGGCCATGCTCTCCCTGACCTGCTGTTCACAAACAGGGAAAAATTGGTGGGGAATGTAGCAGTGGATGGCAAATTGGGCAGCAGTGACCGTGGAACATTTGAGTTCAGGAAGGAAGGACAGAGGAAAGGAAGGATGGAGAGCAGCAGAGTAAGGACCCTGGACTTCAAAAAAGCAGACTTTGAGTAATTCAGGGAACTAATGGGCAGGATCCCCTTGGAAGCCAGAATGAGGGGAAGAGGAGTCTAGGAGAGCTGGCTGTACTTTAAGTAAGTCTTACTGCGAGTGCAGCAACAAACCATCCTGATATGCAGAAAGACTAGCAGGTCTGGCAAAAGACCAGCTTGGCTTAGAATGGAACTGTTCAGTAAACTAAATCACAAAAAGGAAGCCTATAAGAAGTGGAAACTTGGACAAACAACTAGGGAGGAGTACAAGAGTATTGCCTGGGCATGAAGGGATGAAGTCAGGAAGACCAAAGCACTATTGGAATTGCAGCTAAGAAGTGAGGTGAAGGGTAACAAGAAGGTTTCTAGAAGTATGTCAGTAGCAAGAGGAAGATCAGGGAAAGTGTGGGTCACTGACTGAATGGGGGAGGCAACCTTGTGACAGAGGATGCAGAAAAGCTCCCAGACTACTGCACCTGGGAGCACTACAGCACAGTTAGGGGAGGAGGTGAGCAGCCCACAGTGGTGAAAGAACAGGTTAGGGACTATTTAGAAAAGCTGGACATATTCAAGTCCAGCTGGATGGGATGCATCCAAGGGTGCCAAGGGAGTTGGCTGATGTGACTGCAGAGCCGCCAGCCATCATCTTTGAAAACTAATGGCAATCAGGAGAGATCCCGGATTATTGGAATATGGCAAACATAGTTTTTAAGAAACATATTTAAGAAACAGAAGGAGGAGGATCCAGGGAAATACAGAACAGTCAGCCTCACCTCAATCCCTGGAAAAATCATGGAGCAGATCATCAAGGAATCCATTTCTAAGCACTTGGAGGAGAAGAAGGTGATTAGGAACAGTCAGCATGCCTGACCAACCTGATTGCCTTCTATGATGAGATGACTGGCTCTGTGGATACAGGGAGACCAGTGGGTGTGGTATACCTTGATTTTAGCAAGGTTTTTAATATGGTCTTCCACAACATTCTTGCAGGCAAGCTAAGGAAGCATGGCCTGGATGAATGGACTGTAAGGGATGAATGGAAGAAAGGTGGATAGAAAACCCTCTGAGCATTGGGCTCAGAGAGTAATAATCAATGGCTCCATGCCTAGCTGGCAGCTGATATCAGGTGGAGTGCCTCAGGGGTCAGTCCTGGTGCTGGTTTTGTTTAATGTCTTCATCAGTGATCTGGAAGATGGCATACAGTGCGCCCTCATCAAGTTTGCAGATGACACCAAGCTGTGGGAGTAGTAAATATGCTGGAGGGTCAGGCTAGGATTCAGAATGACCTAGATAAATTGGAGGATTAAGCCAAAAGCAATCTCTTGAGGTTCAACAAGGACAAGTGCAAAGTCCCACACTTAAGACAGAAGAATCCCATGCACTGCTATAAGTTGGGGGCTGACTGGCTGAGCAACAGCTCTGCAGAAAAGGACCTGTTGGTTACAGTCGACAATAAGATGAATATAAGCCAGCAATGTGCCCTTGTTACCAAGAAGGCTAATGGCATAGTGGGCTGCATTGGTAGGCGTGTTGCCAGTAGGTCAAGGGAAGTGATTATTCCCTCTGTTCAGCACTGTTGAGGTCACATCTGGAGTACTGTGTTCAGTTTTGGACCCTCCACTACAGAAATGATGTGAACAAATTGGAGAGTCCAGTGGAGGGCAGCAAAGATGGTGAGGTGCCTGGGGCACATGACTTATAGGGAGAGGTTGAGGAAACTGGGCTTATTTAGTCTAGAGAAGAGAAAACTGAGAGGGGATTTAATCGCAGCCTTCAGCTACGATGAAGGGTTCAAAACAGGGTGAAGCTAGACTTATCAGTGATGACAGATTCACAGAAGTTTAGGGCTGGAAGGGACCTCGTGAGATCAAGTCCAGCCCCTCTGCTCTGGGCAGGAAAGATTGCTGGGGTCAGACAGAACAGGGAGCAATGGTCTCAAGTTGCAGCAAAGAAAGTTTAGATTAGATATTAGGAAGAATTTTCCCCCTGGGAGGGTAGAAAAGCACTGGAACGGGTTACCCAGAGAGGTTGTGGACTCTCCATCCTTGGAGGTTTTTAAGACTCAGCTTGACAAAGCCTTGGCTGGGATGATGTAGTTGGGGATGGTCTTGCTTTGAGGAGAAGGTTGGACTAGATAACCTCCTGAGGTCCCTTCCAGTGTGAATTTCAAGACTGGGTTCTTAATTCTGAGCTTGGGTCCATGGCTAAGACACAAAAAGGCATGATCAAGTCAGCTGCTTAAATAAGAATTTTAGCCAGATAACAGTCCAATATATGCAGTAGTGAACTTCAGCAAAGATTTTTCTTATCATTTATTGCCAGAATATATATGATCTCATCTAAGTTTCCTAGAAATCTGTTTATTCCAGAGAGAATATAGAGTTCCTTTAATAATTATTATGGAAAAAGCACCTTTATTTTGGAGACCCTGCTTTTTTTCTTGAATGAAACTAGTGACTGGACAGTAGGATTCCAGATTACTGGGTTGAAGCTGGCACATTGTTTATGGGATAATGCATCAGGATCTTCTATGTATGATAGTAAGTGGTGGAGGATTTTATCATCAGTGGTTAGCATGTTGAAAATTACATTCAGTTCAGATATGTTTTTCTAGGCAGTAGTTCTGCCTGTATAGTTTATACACAGAAAACAAATGATTTTATACAGTATTTTAAAAATATGTCTTCAGTTTAACTGCAGTACTTTTCTCTGGGAGTATATTTTTATATTGAAGCCTTGTAAAATGTTTTCATTATGTAGCTTGCTTTTCAAGAGAGAATCATTCCATACTTTTAACAAATCAGTTTTTAAATGTATAACTGTGTATCACCATTGGTTGTCTTATATTGTCTTTATGTTTATCTTGTGTATCTGTGGAAAGGTACAAGAAACATTGAACAATATATTTTTGTCTATAATCCACTGGCATGGAACATCACTACTTTTGTCACTATTCCTGTGAGCTGCTCCACAGTTAGTGTGTATAATGACCTGGGACATTCTGTACCAGCACAGGTATTACATGGTTGTGTTAATACTATTACATTTCTGTTTGTAATATGCAGAACAGTTAGTCCTTGTGGATTCCCCTTCTCAAGAGTGCGTGTTAGCTTCTTCAGTGTAGTGGAAACAAGAACATGATTGAACTGTGGTTACTCCGTTTGTCCGTGGGAATCTAGAATCCTATCTAGCAACTATGTTTATCCAGTTTCACCTGCTTTCCCCAAACTGGATTTTGAAATATTGTGGATATTAAGGGAGCAGGAGAAAATACTATCCAAGCATACAGGACAGTATTACCAAATCTCTTGCTTGAATAGTGAATAAAAATAAGAAATTGGGTTATTTTGGTTTTTTTTGTTTATTATGAACCCACAATATTTTGAAGTGTTCATGGGATGTCCCAAATGTTTTCTTTAATTTCTTTTACTGATACAGCATGTGTAGTCTCTACAAATAGCCTCAAGCTGTATTTAGCCGTATCATCCCTATATTAATTTGCATTTTGATATACATGCATTTCTTATATATTAGGCCCAGAACTGCATAATGTGATAATGATTTTTAGGTCTTACTTCTTGAACAATAACTTTCATACCTGGGCCCCTTAACTCAAAGCCTAAATGGCTAAGAGAAGTAGTCTCCGAGAATTAGTATTAGACAGCAGTTCGCTTACTGGCCAGTGATCTGAGGCAGGGGAGCCAGGCCCTTCCAGACAGTACAGAATTTACATTTTATGTAGAGAGCTCTGTAGCAAGAATAACACTAGGGAATAGGATATTAAGGGAAGGACATTTCGTACAGTTAGGAAATAAGTGAGAGATGGTGTCCTTAGGATATGTCTGAAAAGATATAAATTTTCTCCGGGTCATAATTAGATCAGGGAAAGTTTCTGGTCTGGTAAACAAATATGCTCTTGGCAGGCAGGAAGTTATATGTATACTATGGGCTCCCCAAGAATCCAATGGATAATGTATATAAATGTAACCAGAATAAGAAATGGTGCTTAAGCCTTGCCATGGGAACAAGTGTTTATCTAAACTTTCCTGGGCATAAGGTGCTTTGAATAGCCTGTGTGCTGGTTGATGGGAGAAGTTGCAGGAAGCCATGACAAGAAGGTCAGAAGCAGCTGCTGCTTTCTAACCTGTCTGAGCTGAGAAGGAGCTGTATTCTTAGGGATAAGATGCAAGGATAAGGTAAAATTATCATTCTGATATTTCCTTGTATTTGTCTATTCTTTTATCTGCTCCTGTATCTCAAAATATATTTGCTAATTTCTTATGACTACCCTTATTTTTATAATAAATTCTTTTTATCAGTGGTAAGTGTGACTTCAGAGCATTTGATCATACAGTCAGGCCTCTTCTAAGGAAGGGGTGAAATCTGTAATTTCTGACGACATGATCAGACAAGGGCATGATTTTTCTAGTTAATAAAATCCCCTCTACTAACAGGTAACAAGACCTAGGTGGGACAGATACATCTGAGGTGCCATAGGTCGAGGAGGTGAACCTCAAAGCATCTCAGTCTGTTCTTAGTGGTCAAGCAAAGATGCAGAGAAGGGCTTGGGGCTGAAGGGCACCCCTGAAGGAGTGAAAATATGCTGGGATTGTGTCTCCGGGTCCCTGCTATGTTAAATATAGTACACAATTAACTGGTGAATCATGCAGTAAATGTAAACCCAGCCACACAATAAAAATGACTATATAAAAAGAGCCAACCAGTTATTAAGTTAGTGCTTGAAAATGTGTAACACCTCTGTAGCTGGTTTCTATCCAGCTTTAATTTGAATATGTAGCAGCAGGTCTCTTAAAAGTACATCTGATCAAATCTGGGGTCAGAATGTTTCACACTGTTCTTTTCTGTGACTCCATGTTTTCTCCTGATTATATTATTAGAAGCAGCTGAACATGATTTCCAGTTGAAAACCAAGAAGAAAGTACTGAACAAGGCTAGTTCAAACTATGACTTTGAAGGGCCTATACAGTTTCCTCTCAGTCATTTTGCTGACATTAACCTGCTTTTATACATTTGCTTCAAGTCTGCCATCGCTGCAGTCCCTGCCAAGAGTTGGAGTGTAATTTAAACCCTGCTCCCTCCCCAAAGTTAGCCTTAAATTGCTGTTGCTCAGTAACTGCCCGCATGTAAAAACATCACAAAAGAACATGGCAGTTCCCAAATTTAATGGTATGCATATTTGGATTTCTCATTTAAATGATTAGTAAATTTTCTTTAACTGAGGATTTACAAGCCTGAACATATTAGTTATCTATCATTCATGTTATTCATGTTGTATATGTTGACTTGCAGATCCATAACTCCACAGAAGCCCATTCTACCTATGATCTGTATATTCTTGTTACGATAAGTGGACTGAGCTACCAAAGATACCGTGTTAAAATCTCAGCTGACAACGGATTAGCATTTGTTGCAAAATCAATTAAGTATAGACCAAAAGTAATAAACTATGTTCAACACCGAAGTAAACAGCTGCTTCCTGTACTTAATAACTGCTATCAGGTGATGTGGGACCAAGATACTAACCTAATGCACAGCATTACAGACAGGTAAGCCCATCAGGATTTACAGTGCTATTCCTACAGAAATCTGGGCTGGGAAAACGTCTTCTTTAAAAGTAAATCCAAATCATGCATTGAATTATAATTACTTATATCTCATGGTTAACCACTAACTGTTTTGCAATTTAAAATTTTCTTATCCATTCTGCTTATTTTATGATGTGAACTAATAAATGGTCTTATTCCTGCTTAATGCAATATTGTTAACAATATAATGTGTGTAATATAGTTTTATAATGTATAAACTTTAAAAGGACTAATGTGTATATATAAAACATACATTTTGGGTCTGCAGTGAGTCTATAGAATCTTAAATGACAGCAATAACCAGGATCTTTCCTCCTCAGTAATTACTGTATTCTACAACTGGTAAGAGATAAGAACTTCAAGAGGATTTCTTGAGAAGAAACTGACATTCTTTCTATTTGTATGTAATCAAGAAAACTCACCAAAAGTACAAGCTGCATCTGTAGGTTTGCAAGTCCAGATTCTCAGTGGATTTTACTCACTACAGCTCTATAGACTTTACTGATTTCTACCATAATATTCAAACCTACACATTCATCTGAGTAATAAATTGGGATCTCATTCACATAAGTTTTGTTATTTGACAGTCTCCCTCACATGGGTTTTGGGAGAATCAGTCAATTAATGTGTGTACTATGTACTTAATATTAAAAATTAGAGATGGTCCTGAACCAGAGCATGAGATCTGAACACTGAGGGAGTTCAGAGTCCATGTCTACATTTTTATTGCTCTGTATTGAGATAAATCAAAAGCTGGAGTCAGATTCCCTCCTTAGAAATTTGAGGAATACATACTCACATATATGTGTGTTATGGTATTGTAATAGTAATGAAATATTAATGTCTTTACAGTTGAAGACTTTCCTGGTGCTTTGACACAGGAATGGCTATACATATAGTGTCTATAAATTGACATTACATCTGAACCGCCTTCTTCCTTTTTCTGAGTTACAGTATTTCTCCATCTCATGATGGTGTGTTGCAAGGACTAGGCTCCAGCCTCTGGTACACAGGGGCACACCTTCTTATTATGAACCCTTTTATGGGAAGGGGTTGGTTGGATTTTATGCAAGGATGCTGAATACAAGGAGGTATGTTCTGGAAGGGTGAAAAGGGATGTCTCCTTCCATATCTCTTCTACTTAAATTAAACTAGATTTCCACAGTTCCTCCTTTTACAGACAGATCTTGGGACTTATAAGCCCAGTAAAGTACCATTTTCCACTTGAACCAAATTTACTGGATGTTGTTTCATTGAGAATAGCAGAATTACTAATGCTTTGGTAAGAAAATAAATACTTTACATAGAATTGACTTAATCATAAAATGTTTTCATAATGTCTCATAATCACAGAGTAATTAATCCTTACAACTCTCCTCTAAAAACTATCAATAACTATTACCTCTTTTTACAAATTGAGCAACTGGTGAGAATGAGAAGGAAGCTGAAAAGCAGCATAGCTCTTCTGTACGATTCTGGTAAAAGAAGGGAGCGGCAGAGTTGGTCCTAGATTTGGGTCTCTAAAAAGCTGCTGCCTTTTGCCAGTTACACTCTTGTTACTTGGGTTGCATATGAAGATCTGGGTCATGTTCATTTATGTAGCTATAAAATTAATTGATCTTGCTCAAGTCTTTGTACCAGATATCTTACATTTTTCATGCATTGACATTTTTCATGCCACGAAGAACTTTTAATCCCATGTTCTTAGGTAGTTCCTGCTGTTACTGAAGCCTAAAAGGAACATTGTAAAATCTAAGGAATATTTTGATTTGCTAAAAATATCAATGATTTAGGGAATTGTGTGGAATGGTTCTTTTATAATTCTTTTATATTGAGTGATAAGCTGGTAAACCTTTGGTGGGGTGGCACTTTCTATCCTAACTATCCTTGTCTCCTGATCCCTTTCATATTAATTATACAGTTTTGTTACTTGCGCATAAAAGTGGGCATCTACTATGAACATCACATTTTGTTTTTTTCCTTTTGGGATTTACAGGGAGACTAACCAGACTATCCAGGTAACCCAGGAGTTCCTTGAATATCATGTGAATGGAGATGTGAAGAAGGGACCTATTTCAGACAACTACATGTTTAGCACAAATGGATCAGCTGTTCAAGTATCAAAAACAGTGGGACTAGAAGTTGTTTCAGGAAACCTAGTGACAGAAATAAGGCAATATTTTTACAGGTAAAGGAGGAGAGTGTGATTTATCCTCATCAAAATATTCATTCCTCTTTCCACATGTGGAAGTAATTCTATTCTGTCCATTCTAAATGGCAAACCACATATGTAGTTTGGCTCTTAGTGGATTTTGTTTAGCAAACAACTGGTAAAAAGATATTGATATTGTGTTTAATTGTGCAACTCAGTGTGCAATGAAAGAGAAAAATATTATAGATTTCATAATTGTTTGTTTTTAACATGGAGCTGAGATATTGTTTTCACACATCTTGATGAAAACTGTGGTTTAAAATGGTTTGCACTAAACAGAAAAAGTTATTTCTGAAAACGCAAGTGTTGCAGGTAGGTTCAATTTTCACTTGTCTATAATTAGCGAACTCTGTGTGGTGGAACAAGAGAACTAATTAATGGCAAAGAAATTGAATTGAACCTAATGCAACGATCAGGACTCTATTGACAGCCCTAAAAAATTAGTCACTTTTTTGCCATTTAAGGTCATATACGGTCTGCTACCATTATATTATTTGTGTATTTTTTGTATTTAATTTATTTTATTAAACTCTTCATTTTAAATTAAATTGCATTGCATAAGGTTGGTAACTGGTGCTATTAAAGATCATGTCAAACTACAGTACACCCAGAAAATGCAAAATAGAATATGTATACCAAAATGAACATTCCCTAGGTAAGGAAAATGACATGTGAAGCCACATACATTTTCCTGAATATAAATGTATTATTGCCACTTTCAATGCTTGGCTTCATTAATCAATTGCAGGGTAAGACAGACCTTCCATCTGATCAGTACTTTGTATTTAAAAGGTTTGGGTTACTCTGTAGTTATATTAATCCCTAGAAATGGATCCAGGATTTTGCAAAGTGAGTTGCAGTTGCAGCAACCAGTGCTGCAGTGGTGGCTGCATGCCCTGTTCCCAGACTCCTCCCCACACTGGGGCAGGCAGTCCATGCCACAGGAGAAGCATCTAAGGACTTAAGTCCCAAGGAAGATAAGAAATTCTCCCTCTCCCACCCCCTTTATGCTCAGAAGCATGTCCCCTGCCTTCACTCTCCCCTCCCTTCCCCTTACTCCCTCCCCTGCTTGCTGCTGCAGGTGTTCACTGTCCCAGGGGCAAGAAGCGTTCCTGTCCCACTTCAGCGGAGCTGCTGTCATGGGACCATGGCAGCGGCAATACTCATAGGTGGGCACATCCTCCCTCCCTGTGCCTTCTCCCCAGGTTGGCAGGAAACATCCACAGGGCAGCAGGCAGGGAGGGGAAATGCTCCCACCAGCTGCCATTGCTGCTTCTACAGTCCCAGGCTGATCCCAGCCCTCCTGGAGGAGACAGAAGCTCTCCTCACTTCTGGGACACTGGAGACAGCACAGCAGGGTGGGGAGGGGGGAATGGGAGCGGAAAAGAAGGGGGGAAGGTTTACCTTCTTCAGGACTTAAGTCCCCAGCTGCTGTTCCTGCAGCATGGTGAGAAACTGGAGTACAGCTGCCGCACTGCACCTGCTCTAGAGTTGTCCCTGTAAATCTCTACTCTAGTGTGTCCGTACGTGAATAAGCATGAAAGGAAGAGACCAACCTTCTGTTTAGATATGCATTAAGATGCCATAACAGAAAAATAGGTATGCATTTAATATTTAGTAAAATGATTAACTTTTATGACCCTTGTGTAAAAGTTCAGTATATCTTCCATAAATTCTGTTACTGACACAGATAAAATAATTTCACTAGTTACACACAGCAGACAAAATGCTGAGACATTAATGTGAATGCATACACTGCAAGTTTATTAATGATTTAAGTTCTGATATGATGAACTGTTTTACTTGTTTAACTTCAAGTATCTTCCCTCTTCTTTTGTAGCAATATCACTGCTCAGGATTACAGATATGCAATATATACCAGGCTGTACCATGTACCAGAAGGCTATGATGGAAAGCTGCTTTGCCATAGGATAGAGCAAGAACACAGAGTTGGGTCTTTGGAACTAAATCGTGAGGCAATCCTACGGACAAGCACAAACTTAAACACTAAGCAGATGCTTTATACTGATGACAATGGGTATCAGATCCAGAAGAGACGATACAAGACCTACACGAATAATACTGTGGCACGGGTAAAGAGCCATAATCCAAAATCATGTGTGTGTCACATTCATTCTCTATGACATTATATGAAATTAATGTTGTTTTCTTTCAGAACTATTATCCCCTGGTCCAGACAGCCTACATCGAGGATGGCTACACAAGACTGGCGCTGCTTGCAGAAAGAGCACATGGTGTCTCAAGTCAGAAAAATGGGCAAGTGGAGGTAAAAGATGAATATTTTTCTCTTTTTCTACAGCTAAGATAATTTTATGGCTGATGATGATGCATGTTAAGCATGACAACTGATTACTGTTCTTACGTTTGTCTGTTGAATACAGGTGATGCTTCATAGGAGACTATGGAACAACTTTGAGTGGGATCTGAATTACAATCTCACCTTGAATGACACCTCAGTGGTGCATCCAGTGTTTTGGCTCATTTTAGGAGCTAAGGATGTTACCAATGTTCTCTCTCATACAGGCGCACTGGCTTTAGAGCACAGACCAGTTGTTATGTTTGGAAACTTAATGGGTAATTAATATCATGTAATGGTATTTTTAAAATTTATATATAATCCTTTTGCATTCTTTTGCATAATTTTTTGGCTCCAGAGTCTGCATCTAAGCCTTGTAAGGGCCTTTTTACAGGTGGATGTTAATGCACTGTGAGCTGGAATGTGATTTTGTAGTACACAAATCACTTTGCTCTCCACCCTTCTGGGGACACATTTCATGTGCACCAAGAGCGCCTTTTGTATGACAGGGCTTACCTACTTTCAAAATACAATAAATGGCTTCACTTCTAGTACATACCTAAGAGTATCCATGCACATTCAGTGCAGAATAACCAGTGTAACATCAGCTTACAATTAGGGATGTGCCGATAAAGATTTTTTGGGCTGATACCGATGGCCAAGTATTAACAAGCTATAGTGGCCGATACCAATCCAACTGCCAATATGGAGTCCAGCTGATAAGTCAGTTGCGGGGAAGTGTGGGGGGAGGAGGAAAGAGGCATGGTGGGGCAGATCAAGGTCCCCCCAGTGATAGAGAGAGGGAGGCTGGGGCAGGGGCAGGTACTGCCCGGGTGGGGCAGGGACAGAGCTGCAAGCAGCTCATCTAGGGGGCATGGCAGGGGGCTCCTGCTGCTGCATGCACCCCCAGGGAAGCATAGGGGCCATGTGCGCCCTGGATCTGTGCGGGGTGAGGGCAGGCTGGGGCCAGGGGCAGCACTAGGCTCTTTCCAGTGGGGGATTGGGCTGGGGCTGTCAGTTGTGGTGCAGGCAGTGCTGGTGCTGGGAAGAGGGATTTGAAGGGACTATAGTGAATTTGGGAGGGGGGGGGGAGCTCTAGCCCCCTTCCTCCATAGCCTCCCCTCGCAGCACCACCACTGATCACCCTGAGCACAGCCCTGGCTGAACCCCCACACTGGGAAGAGCCCTGTGCCAGACCAGCCTTCAGCAGGCAGCACACCTTTGCCCGCTGCAGAGATCTGGTGGGGCGGGGGGGTACATGCCCCACGTGCTTCCCTCTGGGTGGGCACGGCGGCATGAGCCAATCCCCTTCTGCAGGTCCAACCTGTGCCCTGCCCTGGCTGGGCAGTGCCTATCCCAGCCCTACTCCCTCCCTCAGGAGGCCTTGCAGAGGCCTTGATTTGCCGCTTTTGCATCCTTTCCCCCACAGACTTACCAGCTGGACACTGCTCTCCAAGCTGCCAGGCTACAGTCCTGGCTGTGTGCATGTTGTGGCTGCGCCCATGCACATGACATCTGTCAGCAACAGTATCAGCCACATCAGCCAAAAAAAGTCAATTGCTGATAATGTCAATTTTCCTTTTATTAGTGCCAGTGCAATATGGACTGGTGTATTGGTGCACCTCTACTTTCAGTTTGGTTTACTGCACGGTTACCTCCTCATGTAAATAAGCCCTGAGTGACATGGTTTTGAAAATCATGATATTAAAGCACTGGCGACAGGTAGGGGTGAGCATGCACCCCCTGAGATCGGCCGTGCATCCCCTGGAAGTGCCAGCGACGAAACCAGAAGTGCACTTATGGTTTCACCATTGGCTGCTGGGACTTCCCCCTGCCCTC